GTAATTTCCTTAATATTAAGTCGAAAAAGAAAATAGTGATATCAATGGAAAGCTCGTGGCCGATTTATGTGATGTAACTAAGGCTATTTTTTTCGTAGGGTATCACGTTTTCATTTTATTCAATAAATGTGTTTCGGAGGTAGTGGAGGGGGTAGTTGCTTCGTGTATAGATACCCGGTAGCAAGCGGCGAGTTTCAAAACTTTTCTTGGCCGATACGCTACCGCGTATCTCGATTCGTTGATTCTTCCTCATCGCCATGGAATTGAAGACAATAAGAAAAGGGAATAGAAGTGGGAATGGAAGTTTCTCTCCAAGAAAAGAAAAAACAAAAATAAAAATCAACTCATCACGTTTCTCACCTTCTCAGAACTCATTCCAGAAAACCTAAAAAATCACAAAAAACCTCAAAAGACCTTTTTTTTAGCCCTCAAATTCCCCACAAAATGTCTCACAAAATTTGCGCTAAACCCCACGGTTCCAAAATTATCCCCCCCAAAAAAACCGTGAAATACCCAATTACCCATTTTCTAACTCTTTTTCAAAACTCATCCCAAATCCAATTAAACAGCAGTCATTCAGAATTTATTATAAGTTTGTTATAAGTTTATTATGAGTTTATTATAAGTTTATAATAAGTTCATTTATTTTGACGATAATGACGATGGTATTCACGCAGTTTCACCGCTCTCCAAGTCCTCAGTAATCTTGTCAACCATATTTTGAACCTTCTCCATCTCCTTGAATAACATACTAGTTGCTCTTTTGATTTGCTCCTCTCCCTTCCTGATTTCAATTAAATGAATCTTCTGAATGTTCATCTGCTCTGTGGTTGCTATGACGAACTTCTTCACTTCTTCCAGTTTGTCTGGAAAAAAAATTCAAAAAAACAACTTAATTGCGGGTTCATTTCAGCCTCAGAACCGTGAATTCCTAAGAAATAAATGTTCGGGGAACTCCTGCATTCGAGGCCGTAAGTGAGAAAGCGAGAAACGAAGACAGAGAAACGCTTTGTTTCACTCTCTTCAAATCTTACGGAATGAAATATTAGGGAGTATCTGCTTCTATGGATGATTGAAGGGGCGGGTGGGGGGAAAGGGGGGTCACCACTTTTTTCAAGTACCAAACATCAAACATACCTCGATGACAATAAGGATCGTCACAGCCTTCACACAGCTTACACTCAGGGATCTCACCATCCATTTGTTGCTGAGCTGTAAAAACAATAAAAATATATAGTCAATAACTAAAACTATTCATCTTTTACACCTCAGTGTGCAGTAATAGGCCAGTTACTGCACACCGAAATGTAAAATAACATACGCCACCCGGGCGTTAATTTCGTTTTTCACACGTGTGATTACAAACCTCGCCTTCGGCTCGACTTGTAAACCTCACACACGTGAAAAACAAAATGAATAGTAAATAAAATAAAGTAAAACAAAATCGCGAATAAATAAATAATGATGAGAAAAAAATTAACTATATTTTCGAAGCGAAAATAAATGAGACTTGCGTTATAAAGAAGTAGAAATTTCGTTTGACTTCAGCGACACTGACGTTCATTGACGAGCGAACTGAGGGCAACTGAGGGTGAGCGGGAATGATACAGACGTCGGAGTGGAGAGTCTTCTCCAGCCCACAGCGTCTGGTGGTGGGGAGCGTTAAAACATCGAGAACAAGTGCAAAGTGGGGATATAGGCCCCAGCAAATCGATGACGTCGATCGACAAAACAGAGGAAAGCTGGTGGAAAAGAAGAAAAAAAAATTACGTGGCAACGCTGTTCCGATCGAATCGTTGACGTTCTCGGGATTTTCGTTTTTTTCCAGGAAATTTCGATGCAGCTGCCTCCTCCACCAATTATCATTAATCGAGTATCTCCAGATTGGTCGGTAGACAGCTTGGCGCCACGGGGCCGTATCCCCACAGTGAGTGAGACGAAGATGGAACGTTGTTTTCTATCGCTGTTCGCATCTCACCGACGTAGGGTGTATTTGGAATCAACTGCGCGCAGTCGCAGTACTGTTACTACTAACATTTCCGTTTCGTAATTTTTGCAGCTAACTTCGCGCAGTCGCATCATTTTTTGAATTCGAAGTGCCAAATAATAATATTAATTATTTTTCATAAATTTTCTTTTTTTAGTAGAAGGGCGGTGGAGGCGGGGTCGAAGGGGTTAGAGCCAAATAATAATATGCATTTTTTTTTTTGAGCAGAGTGGCGGAGGGATCGGATTCCTTATTTTTTTTGGCTCGGAGGGGGAGGGGGTGAAGGTGTTAGACCCAAATAATTATTTTAATAATTTTTTTATTTTTGTTTATGCACAGGGGGCGGGAGGGGTTAGAACGAAATCATAATATGCATCATTTTTCATTTCTTTTCTCTTTTTTGAAGCAGGGGGCCGAAAGGGTTGGAGCCAAATAGTAATATTAATTATTGTTTTTTTTCTCATTTTTGGAGTAGTGGGGAAGGGGGCGAAGGGGTTAGAGTAAAATAATAATTTCACGAGGGTCAAACGTCATGAGGCTCATGAGGGCCACGAGGGGGAAATTGAATTTCACAAGGGTCAAACGCCACCAGGGGCACAAGAGGAAAATTAAATTTTTTCGACGGCCAAATGTCACGAGGGCCACGAGGAAAAAATTAAATTTCATGAGGATCAAACGTCACGAGGCTCACGGGGGGAAATGAAAATTCACGAGGATCGAACGTCATGAGGCTCACGAGAGCCAGGAGGGAAAGAATGAAATTTCACTAGGCTCAAACGTCACGAGAAGTTTGAAATTCAATTTTCGCCTCGTGGCCCTCGTGACGTTTGACTCTAGTGAAATTTAATTTCCCCCTTGTAGCCCTCGCGAGCCTCTTGAAATTTACTTTTCCCCTCGTGAGCCTCGTGACGTTTGATCCTCATGAAATTTAATTTTTTCCTCGTGGCCCTCGTAACATTTGGCCATCGTAAAATTTAATTTTCCTCTTGTGCCCCTGGTGGCATTTGAACCTTGTGAAATTATTATTTGGTTGTAACCCCTTCGCCCCCTTCCGCACTGCTCCAAAAATGAGAAAAAAAAACGATAATCAATATTATTATTCGGTTCTAACCCTTTCGCCCCTCCCCTGCCCCTCCTTTGCACAAAAAAAATGAAAAGAATAAAAAATAATTAATATTATTATTTGACTTTAACCCCTTCGCCTCCTCCCCCCCCCCGCCTTTATGCTAAAAAAAGAAAATTTATCAAAAAATGATTAATATTATTATTTGCCTCTAACCCCTTCGCCTCCTCCCCCACCTCTCTTGTGCTAAAAAAAGGAAATTTATAAAAAATAATTAATATTATTATTGGCTCTAAACCCTTCGCCCCCTCCCCCACCGCCCTTCGGCCAAAAAAAAAAATTCATCAAAAATATTTATTTCACGAATTCAAAAATCGCCCCGTTACCGCGCTGCGGAATTACGAAACACTTTGCAGTGGCTTGAGGCCAGATTTCCCGAGTTTTACAACCTAACTCCAACAAGCGATCGAAAATGTAATATCTAAACCAATACGTCCGCTTGAATTTGCATTAAATAAAATATTATATTCTTAGAATCTTTCATTAATGTAATACTAATAACTTCTTTCAATATATTCGAAGGAAATGTATAAATAAAAATGTTGGAGGAGATGAGGTGGCGTTTTTGTAATGGTTCCTGAATCCGAACTTCCAAACAACCGACAATAGTTTCCACCGACCTGAATAAATTTTTTCGTTGGTAAAGAAGGAATGTGGTGGTAATTACCGACGAGAACGGTAGATAAAAAGGATTCCTGAGGTAGAATTAAGGGAACTGTAATCGATAAAGCAGATTCCTTAAAGCAAATGATACAGATGAGAAATATTATTTATTGAATAAATATAGGATGACATATTACTATTGTACCAGAAAAAAAAGGATTTGTGAGAAATGTACGTAAATAAAGGATAATCTTGTTTTGCTAACCTCTTTGTATTCATCATTCATTCGTAGTAATCAGATAATATAAATCAGTAAATGTTAATAAAACGACCTAAGCCCCGTAAACTGGTAGAGAATGCTATTAAGAATGGAAGGGAATCTTCTGTGATAACTATATATAGACATTAATGGTATTGAACCTCCCGTTTATCCTGATAACATGAGAGAACAGTGGAGTATTTGTGATGGTAAGATGTTGTTGGAGCCAGAAGATGCCTCCTAAGCAGTCCTTTTTCCCAAGGCATTCCTATGTGATCTGAAACATTCATTCTTTTAGAAGACTAATTCTTTATACTATTAAAGAAATTGACTTACATAAACACGTTCGAATCCGTGACACTCCTGGAGGCACCATCGACACTTCAAGAAGGCATTCATTTCCAAAGAGGCTTGAACATAGAGTTTCGTACATTGTTTGCATCCAAACCAATGTCTACATGCCGACGCAACATACTCAGTGATGGAATTATTGCATAAATTACATATGCATTGATCTAATCTTCGCACTAAAACAATAAAAGAGGAAGGTTTGATACAGGAACTGAAATCCGAATACAACAATGCTTGAATTTCGAATGAAACATGTATGTTTCATGACAAACAATACAATAAATAATGAAAATACGATAATTTTTAACTCATGTAAATAATTAAGTTCTGTCCAGAGTGTGTGCGATTGCAGAAAACTTATTTTGACACTTCTATATTACACACTCATTGTAATAGCAAAATGTACTTGAGAAGAGAATTAGTGATATTTTTCTATTTTCCTTACACAACAAGATTTCGAAGTTGTCATTTGCAGGTGGAACAGTAGCGATAGGGATTCCTCCAATTGGCTGATCTACTCTGACTGCCTGGATTTCAGCTCCAGTGGGTGGGATCCCTAGAAAGAAATCAGATTGCGGATTAGAAAAACAGATGGCAAAACGTATCAGTGGACATGTGTTAGACTAAGATAAATGGATTAAACTCCCTTACAATATTTCCGTGAACATTTGGCATTTAAGAAAGATTAACATATTTAAACGAAAACTCAACGATGTCCCTTCAAGATATCCGGATATTACTGTGTTATAATGACTCAGCGATAATTTTCTTTAATTTATTGTTTACAATCGATATCGAAGGATGATTGAGAGATATCAATCTACAATTTACTACTGAACCTTCGTATAAAGCATTCCGGTTAAACTCCTCATAAAGATTGTCACTTATCAGACATGTTTTTCCAGGTTTCTTTTTTTATGATTCTTGAATTTCACGAAAACTAAAGCTGACATTCTAAATTCTATTGCATTTATACTTGAGTCTTTGCAATGTCTTTGCTATGTCTCATAGTCTCAAAATTGTGTATAATTAATTATGGCTGAGTCCAGCATTACAGTTGATGCTAAATTCAGGAGTCATTAGATTGGCTGTTGACAGAATGGGGGTGAAGGGTCAAGATATTTGGCTGTAAATTCCTCTTTTATGTACAGTTCAAGTATACGAACCGACAATATGCTCCTGTATTGTTGTAAAGTAGTCGACCGCCTCTGCATTATCGAACAGTACTTTGTTATCGAAGGCACGAAGGAAATGATTCGCACAACCTAGGAACGCTGCGATATCGAGAGCCCCCTCCCCATATAATTCCCAAGCTCTATTTAATATTTCCTCTCGTTTGATGTATTTGGTCGCTCTAGGTCGTCTCACAGGCCTGCCACCAGCGAGTGCAGTCTTCTCGGTACATGTTACCACTTGCAGTTTCCTTAGCGATTCTGCAAATTCGATCCTTGATTAGTAAAGGTAGAATACTGATGAGTGATGTACTGGAAAAATACGCAGAAAAAGACAAAAAATAAGTTTTCTTATACATTTTTTTCTACGAAATTCACTTTCGATAATATTTAAAAATATATTCCATTAAAATAGGTCAAAGTGTCATTCACTGAGAAATTAATTCTACATCGAGTCATTTCCCGAACAAGTGTCAAAAAATACTTTGTGTCGTTGATGAGATCCCGTACCAGACAAATAACTTTACATTTAACTTGACTTCTTCTCCTATTGATGTTGACTTTCATGAATAAACACTGAAGGAACTCTTGTTCAATATGAATAACCGAAGTTTTGTTCTTCGCAGATAACGAACTGTGCCAGACTATCTCCAGATTTTATTATACAACGACTCGTTCTCTACAGAATTTAACATCTGTCTACTCAAGCTTTGGAATATTCCAGCTTTTAGAGGTGAGAAGTCTTCATTGGATCTGAGGGAATTATTCACGTGTAAAAGCTGAAGTATTT